AATGGGGTTAGTTTCTATGCCAGTGTTCTCTGACGTCCACCAGTGCGTTCCCAGTTCCAGCCTCTGTGTTGTTTATCCCCCGGGGTGTGAGAGATCACCCCAGCACTCCACAGCTGAGCACTGCAGACCCGGATCATCTCCCGCGGGTTCTGAGGCTCAGGAATCCGAGCTCAGGTGAGCCGCGGTGTTCCCGCTTGCCGTCTCCTGTGAGTTTGCAGTCAGCGCACTGGCCCCAAGACCGCCGTCTCTTGAGCCTCGTGCCGGGCTGGAGCCTCAGCCCCAAGCTCGTTCACGAATGTGGCGATTGGTGGGAGGCTTTAGTCCCCTCCCGTCTCTGCAGGGCTGCCCATGACCTGGCTTCCCCAGAGTGTGTGATCGAGAGAGAGGGAGAGAGAGAGAGCAGAGGAGGGGAAACAGAATGCAGGAGACAGACAAAGACAGTGCTGGGAACACTGGGGAACTGCTGGAGCCGTGGGTGAAAGTGAAAGTGAAGTTGCCCAGTCGTGTCCGACTCTTTGCGACCCCGTGGACCTACCAGGCTCCTCCGTCCATGGGATTCTCCAGGCAATAATACTGGAGTGGGTTGCCATTTCCTTCCCCAGGGGATCTTCCCAACCCAGGGATTAAGACTCTATAATCTGCCAGTGCAAGGAGATCTTCCAGCCCTGGATGGGGAACTAAGGTCCAATATGCCTTGTGCACAGCCAAAAATAAATAAAATAACAATAGAATCATTAAAAAAAAAAAACATGACAGAGAAAGTGCTGGAAGCCACATGCTTTCACAACCCGATCTAGAGGGGACGTGCTATTCCTTCTGCCGTGTTCTATCGGTCACATAGACCAATCCTGGTCGGTGTGGGTTGGGACTGCTCCTGGGTTCAGATACCAGTGGGGGTGGGGCTCCTTGGACTTGATCTCAGAGGCTGCCTGGGGCCTTCTCTGGCGTCTAGTGGTTAGGCCTCCATCCTTAACGCTGCACAGGTTCGATCCCTGGTCGCGGAGCTAAGATTCCACATGCTTATACGGTAGGGCCACATAAATGAGATAACAAGTAAAAATGCATGTTAAGAGGCTGCCTACCACAGCCTTTTATTTTCTGCACCCATCAGTTGTCATCTTGGTTAGAGAACTACTCACTTGGGTACATAGTCAACTGTCAGAAAGTGTGGTGAAATTTCTCTAGCTGTGTCTGTGCCCTGACTTTTGGATACAATAGAATCTACCTGTAAAGACTGTCACTTTAGTCTGTGTGTGTGTGTGTGTTCTCGGCTGTGTCTGACTCTTGCGGCCCCATGGACTATAGCTCACCAGGCTCCTCTGTCCGTGGGATTCTCCAGGGCAAGAATACTGGAGCGGGTTGCTGTTTTCCCTCTCCAGGGGAATTTTCCCAATTCAGGGATCGAACCAGAGTCTCTTGCATCTCCTGCACTGGTGGGCAGATTCTTAATCACGAGCACCATCTCAGAAGCCCGTTGCCTTACTACCTAGCTAAATAAAAATGATGCACCTGCTTTTTGTGCTGTCCATGATATTCTTGGACAGAAAATCAGTTTCCCTCCTGTGAAATGGAAACATCCATCGAGTCCCCAGTGGACGTGGCCGATCAGCTCTCCCATCTCCTCCTTAAATGAGGGTAAATAAATCTTTAGTGACTGCCTGAATTATTGCTGCCCCTGCACATGAACCTTCTGCCCCAAGACATTTAGGAAAGGTTGCCCTTGCCTTTTCTAAATAATGAATTGCCCTCTTATTATTTTTTATTGTCTTCTAGGCAAAGTTAATCGGGGAGGGGGAATGAATGAGAATTCCCCCCCCCCACTGCTCTTTCTGACAGTTTCAAAGATGATAACATCTTTATTGCACTTCAGTCTCAGTGAGAGCATCATTCATTCATTCAGCAGATAACTTCCGTGTGCCGGTGAGGCTATAAAAGTGCACAGGTAAAGTGTAAGCTCAAATGACCTCTTCACAGTAATTTAAAGGCACGTCAGATAGAAGAAAGGGCTTCCCTGGTGGCTGAGACTGTAACGGACCTGCCTGTCGTTGCAGAAGACCCAGGTTCGATCCCTGGGTCAGGAAGATTTCCTCCTGGAGAAGGACATGGCAACCCACTGCAGTGTCCATGCCTGGAGAATCCCAGGGACAGAGGAGCCTGGTGGGCTATAGTCCACGGGGTCGCAGAGAGTCAGAGGACTGAGCATAGACATAAGAAATGAACCCAGTGGGTAGCGAATCACATTTTGTGAATTCGGCACCCACAGCTTGACTGAATGAACATTTCGGGGGATCTTCAGAGTCAAGATTGTCTTGTTCATGTATTCTAGAAAGGTAACTACCGTGCAGAGAGAAGGGGCTTTCCCAAATAGGGAACCGGACCTGGCCCGAGGTGGACCCCAAAGGGTCTGACCCCCCAGGCCGGTTGTGTCTGCAGCCTTCATGCGTAGAAGCCTTTGCACATGGAAAGGCTGCATGGGAAGCCCTTGACTTGCCCTGAATGCTTCTGGTCTCTCTGGCACGAGGTTGGAGATGTTGCCACCTTCACAGCTAGTGGCCATCACGTCGTGATCCAGGGCTTCGCCAGTATCCTTCCCCCCACCCCACCCCCAACTTCAGTTTTTCTCCCATAGACGCTCATCTTCCCTGCCTCTTCAAGTTTAGCTAAGGCAGAGGGCCAAAATTCCTAAGGGAGGAAAGGTGGAAAATCAAATAGAATTGAAAGAAAATGTTATTTTGAAGGATGGAAATGCAACTTGATAGGATCATGTGTGTGTGTGTGCACGTGTGTGTTTATTCCAGGATTGCCAACACTGATGATTGCTGATGCGTCCAAAGATTTGGAGTGAGGCTCGCTCATAACTGTGAAAGAATTATTGGTGGTTTTCCTGCAGTTAACAGCTGTTGACCCAGCTGGGGGTGGGTTTGGGAACCTGTGTATGTGTGCGGATTGCTACCCAGAGACACGGACCTTTGTGTATGTGGCAAGTACGACCACTCCTGCACAGATTTCTTAACCATCATGGTTGAGCCGTCTTTGCTGGAAGAATGAGACCCCTCTCTGGGCTTTTTGTCCTAAAGCAGCCATTAAAAAGAACGCATGGAATCAGTTCTAATGAGGTGGATGAAACGGGGCCTATTATACAGAGTGAAGTAGGTCAGAAAGAAAAACACCAATACAGTATACTAACGCATGTATATGGAATTTAGAAAGATGGTAATGATGCCCCTATATGCAAGACAGCAAAAGAAACACAGATGTAAAGAACAGACTTTTGGACTCTGTGGGAGAAGATGAGGGTGGGATGATTTGAGAGAATAGCATTGAAACATGTATATTATCATATGTGAAAGAGATCGCCAGTCCAGGTTCGATGCATGAGACAGGGTGCTCAGGGCTGGTGCACTGGGGTGACCTGGAGGGATGGGATGGGGAGGGAGGTGGGAGCGGGGTTCAGGATGGGGGACACATGTACACCCCTGGCTGATTCATGTCAGTGTATGACAAAACCCACCACAATATTGTAAAGTCATTAGCCTCCAATTTCAATAAATAAATTAATTTTTAAAAAATGAAATACATGATTTTAAAAAATCATGATTTTAAAAAATTTTAGCCACTGTATATCACATTATTTTTCACATTTAACCTTTTCTCTATCCGTGTCCTTTTTCTGTCTGGGAATTCCACCCCCGGCATCACAATGAGCTCAATTGTCCTGGCTCCATCTTTCCTTTGGGCCAGGGCAGCGGCTCAGACTTTTCCTTGGTTGTGGTGACTCTGTTTTGAGGGATACTGACCACGGCTTTCGCAGAACATCTCTCACTTTGGGCTTGGCAGGTCTGTGACATGTGATGAGACTGGGTGGGTCAGGAAGATTCCATGGAGAAGGAAATGGCAACCCACTCCTGGATTCTTTTCTTCTTTTTTACCTTTTGGGGGCTGCACCACGCTGTGCGTGGGATCTTACTTCCCCCACCAAGGATCGAACCTGCGTGCCCCCTGTATGGGAAGCATGGAGTCTTAACCACCGCAGTCCCCCGCTGCGGTAATCTTGCCTGCAAAATCCCGTGGACAGACGGAGCCTGGCGGGCTCTCTAGTCCACAGGGTCTCAAAAGAGTCTGACACAACTTAGCATCTAAACAGCAGCAAATTTAAACGCAGGTTTCTTCACTCGTTGCTCGATAGAAGGTAATACAGCCTCATCTCGGAATATGGGTCCAGTAGTTCTAGTTTGGGGTCGTCTGTCCATAATAAACTGTACCCGGGATGCACCCGCTGCCGTTTCCAGGTTTGAGTCCCGTAAAGCACAGTGGTTCCTGAAGGAAACTGTTTCTGTGCAGAATCCATCTGCATCTTTACTGCCTTTTCCCAGATCTCTTCACTCTTGTCCACCCCGCCAGCATTTTCATGATTTTTTTTTTTTTTTTTAATTTTGGGCTGCACTCTGTACCATGCACATAGCATGTGTGATCTGAGTTTCCCCGACAGGAGGTCAAACCCACATCCCCTGCGGTGGACGCTCAGAGTCTTAACCACTGGACCTTCCAGAACTCTTTCATGGTACATTTTTGTCTGACCCATGTGTCTGTTAGTCTGTAACAAAGCATCCAAAGTAGTTTTGGTAGGGGGAAAAAGACTGTCTTCCTAGCTGATGAGCTTATGTAATATTTCGTTACATTTCCTCGATGGAGTAAGATGCCCCATCACATAAGCGGACTTGGGGCCCCATCGACACCGGGGTTTGATGGCCCCGGGGTACCTGGCTCAGGTGGAAAGCCCCCCCCCGGGGGGGGGTCCACTGGAAAAGAAGGAGGCGCTGGCCCACGGATTTCCAGGGCCTGTGGGGGGCTGTCAGCGCGTCTACAGAATCAGCAGCCTTGCTGATTTCCGTGAGAAGGTCTCGCCTTTCAGCGAGAGGCCTTGTTAAGAGACCTTCTCTTCCACGTTATTTTTAGAAGCAGCAAATATCAACTGTAAATATTTAATGTTGTGTTTATAGACTCTGACATCATAAAACTTCACAAGGTGACTCAGAGGAGGCTGATCACTGTGAACCCCTGAGGAGAAGGAATCTCGCCCCCACCCCGCACACCGCACCGTGTGAGGAACATCGTTGACGTTCTTAGGAAAGAGGTGAACAGGTACAGCGCTGTCTTAATTCATCTTCTTCATCCTCGGCAGATGAGGAATTTAGTCACCACTCCTCACTGGCCAGGATTCTCGATCCCTTTTTTTTCCTGATTTTTAAAAGCAACGTGCTGCACAGAATGAGCAATTTGGGGGGGAAAGAGAGAGAGAATGGAATCTGGAAACAAAATCAACACCTCTGAGCCCACCCACGCCTGTTCCCCCATCAGCCTGTTGCTACCTGTTCTCCCAGCTGCCTGTTCAGCTTATAACCCAGCTCTCCCAGCGTCACCTTAACAGAGTGAGCATTTGATCATCGCTGACGTTCATTGAAAACATTTTTCAGGCGTCTATCCCGTCAAGCATGTGTACTGCCATTGATTTAACGTGTGTGGCCGGAGCTTCAGATTGCTTCCCTTTTTTTTTTTTTTTTGCTTTAGGAGAGATGGCTGGGAATGGAGCTGAAGGGCTCTTGAGACCGATTACCAAATTGCTTTCCTTGAAAGGTTGTGCCAATTTTGCCCTGTTGCCAGGGAGCCCGGGGTGGGGTGGGCTGGGGTGGGGGCGGGGTCCTGCCTCTCAGATAGCTCAGGATATTATTGTTCAAGTGAGCTGGGAACGTGGGCACTTTTTTTTTTTGGTTTTGCATTTCTTTGATTTAAAAAAAAAAATGAGGTGGAATATTTCATCCTGTTTGCCAGTCATTTGCATTTCTTTCTTTCTTTCTTTTTTTTTTTTTTTCTGTGACTTGAACGTAAGTTGCTCTGCAAGCAATGGCTCGGGTTCTGCCTGGGGTTACACATCTCTGGGTTCCACGTGAATGCCACCTGTTTTAATAAAGACTGCACTGTCATAAGTTTTAACCACGTGGGCGGTTTCTGGCGTTTGCCGGGAAGTTGAGTCTCCCGACCAGACCCAGACTGGTTGAGTCTGCATACTGGGGGCTGCGTCTCAAACAGGAGTTGAGTCCAGAAAGCAGGAAGGCGGGTCAGCACCTGAATTTATTACTGAGGGTATACCAGAATGCGCTCTTTGCTCATTAACTCTTTGACCCCTTTCCTTAAAGCTGGGGGGGAGAGGGCGTGTGAGCTCTGTCTGCTCATGGATGAGGATTGATGCCTTTGAATATCACTCCTCTACGTGGATTCAGCTCGTCTCCCGTTTGCTAGTGTGTTTATCAGAAGACAGTGTTTTTACACAATGACATCTGGAGGAAAGCACAGATTCTTAGGTTAGCCAGTAAAAGATCTTGAAATATTTATAATTATCGATTGGCCGGCTTGCAGTTTGTTTCTACTTGTCATTAGCCCAAGTTTGTTTCCCAGGGGTGTGTGTCTGTGTGTGGATGAGTGTGTATGGTGACAGAGGTTTTGTTGTGCAAATGAATTGATTGAATGTCTCTGCTGTGTGTCTGAAGCATGGTGCTGTTCATGGCACGCTAGGGACAAGGGGGGGATTGTTTGTTTTCTGTGTTGCTCTGAAGTCATCAGTGAGACGTCTCTGCATTTGCTGTTACTTCTGTCTCCTTTCGCTGTTGTACAACGTCACACATTTGGAAAGCTCTGCAAAAATCTATTTCAGTTTCTCCTTAGAGTGTTTAAGTATTTCTTTCTTTTTTTTTTTTTCATTCTCCAAAGAATGGTTTCCAAACCTGGAAAGGAAAGGAATGAAAGGCGAGGAAAAAGATGATACAGCAGTGATCAATAAAAGGACTCCCCTGACAATCTGGGTGGTTAAGACTTGGCACTTCCATGGCAGGGATTTCTGGTTTGATCGCTGGTCAGGGTATTAAAATCCTGCATGCCTCCTGATGTGACTGCAAAAAAAAAAAAAAAATCATCGATAGATTATTAAAAACAAATGTTGTAATGATTTTGGGGTACGGTTCTTGTCAGCTTATAGCTTAACAGCTTTCGCTTCTCAATGATGTGTGAATGTTTTTGCTCTAAATTGTGTTCAATAGGTGCGAGTCTAGCCATGAATCATTTCCTGCCAAATTTCAATCGATGAGGTAATGCGTGGCGAAATGGCCTTCTTTCTATAACATGCATATCTTCTCAGGTCTCAGGGCTCTTTTCCCCCTCAGTATGTTGCTGCTACACACTAGGAGTTTCCTTGTTTCTACATTCTGTGCAATGATGCACAGAAGTGAGGAATGCCAGGTTCCCTCCCAGCCTGTGGCTCAAGGTCAGAGATGCTCAGTTTGAGCTCCGTTTCCCAGGACGTGTGGGTAACACATACGTGCACGGTACCGGCTCCAACTGTGGGCAAACGGAAGCCATATTCCCTCCACCCAAATAATAAAAGGAGAAAGCTCTCCTGTACTATCCCACCATTTATGCAAAAATGAATTCCTTCTTAACACCATCCTGAGCTTGCCTGGTGGCTCAGCGGTAAAGAATCAACCTGCCAATGCAGGAGACTCAGCTTCGATCCCTGGGTCGGGAAGCTACCCCTGGAGAAAGAAGTGGCAATCCACTCCAGAATTCTTGCCTGGAGAATCCCATGGACAGAGGAGTCTGGTGGGCTAGAGTCTGTGAGGTTGCAAAAGATCGGAACATGACTCAGTAGACTCAGTGGCTAGACAACAACTCAGTGGCTAGGCAACTCAACCAACCCATCTCTGGATGGTGGGTTTTTTTTTTTCTTTTTAGTTCAAAGTAGAACTCAAAGTGACAATAAAATGCCTCTTGCAAAAAGAGTGTTCAGTTTGCTGTCACTGATGAGATGCACACACCTCCGTGTGCTGGGTGCCTAAGCATCTCTAGCTGTTGGTTCTCCAGCGCTTTGAGTGGGCGAGGCTTAATTAAACTTTAAAAGTGATAGTCGCCAGTGCAAGGGGCAGGAAGTGTTGTCTAAAAGGGGGTCTGATACAACAATGACAGCAAGAGAAACTGTGTGTAGTCCTGGCTAAAATACCTGTTCAGCGGCACCCCATCTTAAAAACAGAATGTGTGCAAGCTCAGTCGTGTCCGACTCTGTGACCCTTTGGACGGTAGCCCACCAGGTGCCTCTGCCCATGAGATCCTCCAGGCAAGAATCCTGGAGTGGGTTGCCGTTTTCTCGTCCTGACACAGGAGGTTGAACCCATTGAATCCACGTCTCCCGTGTCTCCTGCGTTTGCAGGCGGATTCTTTACCCGATGAGCTATCAGGGAAGCCCATCTTAAACACAGTCGCACTGAAATTTGAGCTGTGCTGTTGACTGTGGTACGGAGTCCACTGTAGCATCATCACCCTTGGTCTCCCGTGGCAACCTGCTAGGAAGACGGTAGCCGCTCTGGTGACGTCACCCCCAGGTTATAGATGAGACGGCCTCAGCCAGATGGGGTCCACACCCAAGTGCTCTGCAGTGAGCCCTGGAGTTCGCAGCTCATCTTGCTGTCTGCTGGGCCAGGTGATGCTGAAATCAAAAGGTGTACTAATACACACTCAGACGAGAGGTCAGTGTTTGCCCACAACACGAGCAACCTGCTGATGACCGTGGCTTTTGTGAGACCCACAACCCTTTCAGGTGTCTTAATAGAACTTGTGATAAGTCCCTATATTAAAAATATCCTCAAACAGAAAATTGCTTTTTTTCCCCCTAGGGAAAGCTAGTCTGCATTTAGAACAATTTGTGATTATTAATCTGTCTTGAATTGGTCAAGGAATTTTAAAAAATGATGCTATGGGCATACAATTAAAATTTTGCAGTGGACACGAAGCTTGAAAAAATGCTATGGTTTCATCTTGCTGACTATTAGCAACACATTTTAGAGCCTGCAGGTACCATAGAAAGTGTCTGGGTTTTTGCACTCTCCAGTAGAAATTGAATGCAAACCATAAGTTTAATTTAAGCTTTTTGAGTAGCCACAGTAAAGAAGTAAAAAGAAATCATAAATTAGTTTTGCATTATGTATCTAAATATGTGCCATGTTAATATTATTTGCAACAGAAAAAAAAAATCAGTCTCTCAGTCATGCCCCAATTCTTTGGGACACTGTGGACTGTAGCCTGCCAGACTTCTCTGTCCGTGGGATTGTCCAGGCAAGAATACTGCAGTGGGTTGCCATTCCCTTCTCCAGGGGATCTTTCCAGACCAGGGATTGAATCCGGGTCTCCTGCATTGCAGGTGAATCTAACTGAGCCACCAGGGAAACCCATTATTTGCAACATATGTATTAATATATAGTAATTCAGTAATCTGATCAGCTCACTATCCAAAATAGTATCGTTTCAACAAGTGATTCATGTTTAAAAAGATTATTCAAGACATATTTTATGTTCCTTTTCTTTCTATACGAAGTCTGCAAAATCCGGAGTGGAATTTAAACCTGTAGCACTTCTCACTTTGAACTCGTTGCCTTGGTCAGTCCAGTCCGAGATCCCAAATTCCAGTGTCTATGTAGAAATATGAAAATAAATTTGCATCATGAAAAATAATTTTGTAGCAGGAAGTGACACTATTTTGAGAAAGGGATAGTTTAAAAGTTGGGCAGTTTGTTTAGTCTTCTTTTTAATCTATTTGGAATTGGTCAAGGGAAAAAAAATGTTGCGGGTGCATAATTTAAGAATTTGCATGTGGACGAGTTACAGAGGAATCGTGTGGCCTGGAACGTTCCCAGGTCTTTCCATCCTGCAGACCACAGTCATCGAATTTTAGCTGCTGCAGGCTTCTTAGCAGCCCTGCTGACCTGCATCATCCAGTATAGGGGCCACAAGCCTTATAGACCCAAGGACCACCCTCATACATGGCTAGGGTTACTGAGGATCAGATTTAGAGATTTTATTTTCTTATTGATTTAAATTTCGGTGCTGGGTTCAGCTGTTCCATAAGGTTTATGTTGGGAATCACATGGGTGTGCGTATCTGTGTTTTCAGTGTATGGAATACATCTTCTGAACTATAATAGCAGTGGTCTATTTGCTTTGAAAATTCTGTTTCCTAATTAAGACGTAGCGTAAGTGGAAAATACACTGGCTTTGGGAATTTTGGAGATTTTGTAGGTAAAAGGAATCAATAATCAAAGATCT